GTTTAATCTGGAATCTAATTTGAGAAAGAAGTGTGATGAGCATGTGGGTTGAGAATAATAATGGAAGCAAAACTGGCTATTTGATTGTGATAGGAGTTTTGTGTCAGATCTCCCAGATTACAAAGGCCAAGGAAATCTATGAAAATGCCTTGGGGTCTTTTCCCCCTAAGTGAAACAATTGCTGAGGCTAAGCCTTGTGTAGACTGCCTGCATTTGATGTAACCACAGAACTGGTTGCTCAGTGAGTGGACTGGTTTTAGTCAGCATATTCTCTGATCCCATTTAAAATGTTTTACAAGTGGTGTGTCGCTATAAGTTTATATTTATAGATGTTTGTGTGACTGAGGACAGGATTAGTGAATTTGCTGGATAATATTTGCTACTATTTATTGAGCTCTTACCATATGTCAGGTTAGAATTACAGGGTGAGAGTTATTTGATGCAGAAAAGGAATCTGAAAGGTCAGGTTGAATTTATCTAATAATATAAAAGCTGCAGTTCATTGAGATCTGTCTTTGAACCAAGGACTGAAGTAGACACTTTCTGTTGTATTTCCAGTACTTGCAAACATCTCTGCGGAGTAAGGGTCATAATAACTGAGGATACTAGGGCCCTTCTGAGAGGTCACATAACTGGCTCAGGGCCTGAGCCATCAAGTATGAGGCCTGGAGCACAGGCTGGTCTGGTTCCAGAGTCAGTGCTCTTTCCACTGAGCCTCACTTGTCTCTAATTATGCTTGGGTGCCTTTTTTTTTTTTGAGTTGGAGTCTCTGTCCCCCAGGCTGGAGTGCAGTGACACGCTCACGGCTACCACAGCCTCAACCAGCTGGGCTCAGACGATGCTTCCGCCTCAGCCTTCCAAGTAGCTGGAACAACAGGCACAGGCTGCCACGCTTGGTTAATTTTTTGATTTATTGTAGAAATGAGGTCTCACCAAGTTGCCCAGACTGGTCTCGAACCCCTGGGATTAGGAAATCCTCTCACCTCATCTTCCCAAAGTGCTGGGATTATAGGCTTGAGCCACCACGCCTGGCCACTTGGGTGCTTTTTATTCAGGATAATTGATTCTGCTTGTCACTTATGGCCCTGCGCCCCCCCCCCCCCCCCCCCCCCCCGGGGGGGGAATTTTGCTTATTAGAACTTTAGGTCCTTTGAAAGAAAGTTTGGTTAAGTGACACTCAACTTTTTACATGGGCCCTTGAGATAGTTTGAATATTTACAACTTACTTTTTGTTGTGTCAAATTAAGTTAAAACTTTTAAGCTGATTCACAGGTTTGTGTATGGGAAGGTGCTTAGGTATGGGGGAGGAAATCTTTTATTCACCTTTGTGTTGAAGGAGGCTGTCTCCTAAATTATTGCTACAAGCTGTCAGGAAGTTTGTTAAAAATGATTTATTAACTATAGTCAAGGTTATTGCTGTGAAGATTAGTTTCTTCTGAATTATAATGTTCTGCTGGAATATAAATGTTCTGCTGGAAATTAGTTAACTAAGCTTCCAATGAACTTTATAGGGTGACAGGTGGTTGCCCTTTTTGCTTCCCAGTGGTTTCTAACATCCAGTTCCTGGCTAATAGTGTTGGGAGTATTTCAGTGCCACTTTCTGGCATTGAGCTGCTTCTTGAACATTTCTGTTTTACTTCTGAATCAGTTATCTCCTGAATCGGAAGCATCTTGGGTTCTCCACCCAGGCAGGAGTCGTCTCTTACGTCTTAAAACGGCTGGGTCAGTGAAATTAAATCTGCCTTAGATTTTGTGCTTTTGGTGCGATGGTGTATGAAGTTCCATTTTGTGTTTAACATCGAGCGAGGCGACTGTGTGGTGTGTAATGACATAGCGTGTCTTGTGGATCATGAGAAGGTGTTGGAAGTATGTCTTTTTGGGGGATGAAGTGAGCAGATAATGCTGCTTCATTTGTTATATATTGGCTCCCTCAGAGATGAGTTTTATGATATAACTAGATTTTGTCTGATTCTCTCAAATCTTTGCTTTTTTGAAGGCCATGGCTTCTATAGATTAAAAATAACCGAGGCATGAGTTTTCTACTCTTGCAGATTCCACCCTGATACAGATAGGACCATTGTCTGCTGTTGCCATTGTGAGTTTATGTAGAATGCTAGGCAGTCCTTTCCTCTGTCAGAAAGAATAATTTATATGTAATGATAAGTCTACTTATGTACGGAAGCTTCTGTTCTTTGTTGCACAGTTTAACCAACCTGCTCATGGAGACTTCATAACCCTTTACCCAGATGACAGTCAAGTATACTTGGATAAATAGGTTTCCTTTTGGTTTATAGTTGAGTAAACTTTGGTGGTCTGTAATGTTTGGTGAATGACAACTTCTGGATAGTAATTTCCCTGTTAGTTGACAATTGAAGCACCGAACAAAAAAGGCTAAAATAAAGCAGTCTTTATTTTGCATGAGATCATTTATAAAACTTGCTACTTTTTTTCTTAATATTATGTCTTGATGTGATTTATTAATATCATTTTATAATATTGGTTATAGTACATCCTAATAATGTTTAACAGCTAACTTTGGTATGGCATGTCATAGTTTACAAGTATCACCAACATTACCAGTGAATCCATCCAGAAATCATATGACTACTGTTTTTATGTTTTGAGTCGGAGTCTCACTCTGTCACCCAGGCTGGAGTGCAGTGGCACGCTCATGGTTACTGCACCCTCCATCTGCTGGGCTCAGGTGTTCCTCCCGCCTCAGCCTTCCAAGTAGCTGCAACCATAGGCATGTGCTATCACGCCTGGCTCCTTTTTTTGATTTATTGCAGAGACAAGGGCTCTCCAAGTTGCTCAGGCTGGTCTCGAACTCTTGAGCTCAGGCAGTCCTCTCACCTCTGCCTCCCAAAGTGCTGGGATTACCGGTTTGAGTCACTGCGCCCAGCTAACTACTGTTTTATTAATCACGAAAGTGATGGTGGCAGCTTCATTGTATATATTAAAGGGCTGAAGCCAACTGAAGTACCTTGCTCAGGGTTGTCAGGTGAGTGGCAGAGTGGGGCACAAATTCATTTCCTCAGCTGAGTTTCTTCTGTCACCCTAACTGCTCTAGTGCTGGCTGGTTTGTGTCTTACTCCTAAACCAGTGGTTCACAGCCCAGGGGTTTTTTACATGTTAGGTGTCTTTTTTGTTTGTATTTATTTTTCTTATTTATTTATTTGTCTTTTTATTGATTTTTCGTATGTATGTATGTATGTATGTATGTATGTATGTATGTATGTTAGAATCTCACTCTGTTATCCAGGCTAGATAGAGTGAAGTGGCATGCTCATGGCTTCCTGCAGCCTCAATCTCCTGGGCTCAGGTGATCTCCTGCCCCAGCCTCTGGAGTAGTTGGGACTACAGATGTGCATCACCATACCTGGCTAATTTTTAAAATTTTTGTAGGGACAATGTCTTGCTATGTTGCTCAGGCTGGTCTCAAACTCCTGGGCTCAAGAAATCCTCCTGCCTTGGCCTCCGAGAGTGCTGGGATGCCACTGTTGTCGGCCTATGCATCTTTTTTAGTTATGAGGTCATGTGTATTATAAATGATTTGTTACTACTGATTAAAATGCCAACATGAACTATTTCTTTAAAAATGTGTTTTAGACTGGGCTCGGTGGCTCAGCATGTAATCCCAGCACTTTGGGAGGCCGAGGTGAGTTGATTGCCTGAGCCTGTGGGTTCGAGACCAGCTTGGGCAACTTAGCAAGCCCTTGTCTCTATAATAAATGAAAAATTAGCAGGGCATTGTAGCACGTGCCTGTAGTTCCATCTACTTGGAAGGCTGAGGCAGAAGGATCGTCAGAGCCCAGCAGGTTGATGCTGTGGTGGCCTTGAGTGTGCCACTGCACTCCACTCCACTGCACTCCAGCCTGATGGAGTGAGACTCCAACTCAAAAAAAAAATGTGTATTAGGTATACAAATGTGAATTCCATGAGGATAGGGCTATGTCTTCTTTGTGCACACCTCTCCCCAGTACCTGCAAATAGTAGGCATTAAATAATTACTTGTTGAGTGACTAAAGCAATGAATTTAATTCACTCTCTTACATTCTAGTATGCCTTCTTGAGTGGGGAAAGAATGGAATTGGGTTTAACTTACAGTCTTTCTTATCTCTGCCACTGCTTGTCGTAAGTGCTGTATAATAGACTAGTAATCAGAGGGTCTTTGGAGTATCTTTTGAAATTGATTGGGAAATCTCAAACAATAGATTTGTTTGTGGAGGTGTGAATGTTTATTTGAATCTAAGCTATCACTTGTATAAAGGTATTTGTGATCCAGCTGGTTGCAGACTTACTGCTATATTTCTCATCTCTCGCTCTCTCTGTTTTTGCTAAGTTGTTGTTGGTTGTTTCTTTTTTTTTTTTTTGAGTTTGTGTCTCACTCTATTGCCCAGGCTGGAGTGCAGTGGCCGCTCCCGGCCACCGCAGCCTTGACCTGCTGGGCTCCGGCGATCCTTCCGCCTCAGCCTTCCGAGTAGCCGGAATTACAGGCACGTGCTACCACGCCCGGCTAATTTTTTGATTTTTTATTGATGAGCTGTAAGAGTACCGAAGAATAAACCAGAGCTCATGATTTCTTTCTGAAATAATCTACTTCTGAAATGTCTCAATCTGAAATGTCTGTTTAGTCAGTGAACAGCAACTTTTATTGTCTGTTAAGCATTAGTAGCAGTGAGAAACTTGAAATAAACAGCAGTGCTTTATGTTGTAAAAGAATTTTGTGGTATTCACGGTTCTCGTTAGGAGGTACTTAGGACTGAAAAAGGCAAACTCTGCTGTCTCTTATAGATGTGTTGGCCAGGTGTTCTCTCCCAGCTCCCGGACAGTTGAGTCTCATAGACTCTTCAGTGTGCTGCTTCGAGTCATGACATTGTGCTTTCAGAAATTGCACAATTTGTAAACTTTAGGTCTCCCCAAAACTTGAGCAATATGTGCCTTCATTTTCAGAACAAAGACATACCCAACTAAATTGCTGTTGTTTTTTATTTTTCCAGGAGTTTCTTCACCGCATAACCTCACAGAACTGAAGAAAACCATCATTTCTAGAACGCCCTCTTTTTAAGGTACACATAATTTGGCTGTATAATTTCAGGCCCATTAATAGTCACTGATCCTTTTTTTGTTTTGTTTTGAGTTAGAGTCTCACTCTGTGACCCAGGCTGGAGTACAGTGGCACTCCCATAGCCATGGCAGCCCTGACCTGCTGGGCTCCTTTTGCCTCAGCCTTCCAGGTAGCGGGAACTTCAGGCAGGTGCTGCCACTTCCAGCTAATTTTTTGATTTATTGTAGACACGTGGTCCTGCCAAGTTACCCAGGCTAGTTTTGAATCCTTGGGCTCAAGCAGTCCTCTCATCTCCGCCTCCCAAAGTACTGAGATTGTAGATGTGAGCCACCACGGCTGGCTCAGTGATACTTTTTTTCTTTTGAATTGGAGTCTTACTCCATCGCCCAGGTTGGTGTGCAGTGGCACCCTAGCATCGACCTGCTGGGCTTAGGTGATCCTTCTGCCTCAGCCTTCCAAGTAACCGGAACTACAGGTGCATGCTACCATGCCTGGCTAATTTTTTTTTATCGTAGAAACGAGGTCTCACCATGTTAATTGAACCCGCGGGCTCAGGCATTCTCCCCTCACCCTCCTAAAGTGCTGGGATTACAGGCTTGAGCCACTGCGCCCGACCTAGTGATACTTTTTAATTCTTCAGTGACTTGTATGGAAAATGATTTTTACTTCTGGCCATAATATTAGAGAAGCAGAAGAAATTGTATGTAGTTTGAATTTCTTTTTTATTCTTGATGTAATTAGAAGGTATTTTTATTTATTTAATTATAATTATTTAATTATAATTAGGGTCTTATTCTGTTTACCCAGTCTAGAGTGCATGATTATTTAATTATAATTATTTGTTCTGAGACAATAATTATTTAATTATAATTATTTAATTATAATCAGGGTCTTATTCTGTTTACCCAGTCTAAAGTGCAGTGGCATGATTAGGGTTCATCACGGCCTCGACCTCTTGGGTTTGGACTATCCTTCTGCCTCAGCCTCCTGAGTAGCTGGGACTATAGGCACATGCCACTGTGCCCTGCTAATTTTTTTATTTTGTAGAGACAAGGTCTCAGTATATTTCTTAGTCTGGTCTTGAACTCCTGGGTTCAAGCAGTCCTCCCACCTCAGCCTCTCGAAGTGCTGAGACAATAGGCATGAGCCATCGCCCCCAGCCTAATTAGAAGGTAAATGTAGGAAAAATTGTTGTCAAGAATGTAAACCTTCTGTGCAGTTTAAACATAGAGACATGACAACTGATTGCTGAAGTTGTCATTAAATATAACTTGTTCAATAAGCATCTTGGTTATAGAAACTTTTGTAGTTTGATTTGTTTTAAAAACCTTTTGATTTCTCAAATTGTTTATGTCAATTGTGGTTTTCAAATTTGTGGAACTAATTCAACATTGTTTTCTGTTGTGAGATAGGACTATGAATGAAACTTTGTTTACTTTCTGGCCGCTTGTGATTATTCAGATAAAAAGTTTTTTTGTTTTTTGTTTTTTTGGAGTTGGAGTCTCACTCTGTCACCTAGACTGGAGTGCAGTGGCACACTCTGGGCCACCCCGTGTCAACCTTCTGGGCTCCGGCGATCCATCCACCTCAGCCTTCCAAGTAGCTGGAACTACAGGTGTGCTCTACCACGCCTGGCTAATTTTTTGTTTATTGTGAGACGAGGTCTCGCCAAGTTGTCCGGGCTGATCTTGAACCCGTGGGCTTGAATCCATTTGCCTTGGCCTCCAAAATGCTGGGATTACAGCCTGAGCCACCAAACCCGGCCAATAAAAAGTTTTCTAAGAGTATTCAGGATTGTACAGTTTTTTTGTCTTTTTATAGTTTTTTTTACAGTCTTTTTGTTAGGGTACTGCAAAACATACTACATGGGTTAACTGTGCTTTATGTTTTTTTATACTTTTTCTCTAAAAGCTGAAAGCACATCATCATACCATATCTCTGGGGTAGTAATTAGTAGACAAGTTAACCCACTTGTTCTGGGAATGAGAAAACAGAAGCATAAAGAAATTAGTGAGCTGGGCTTGGTGGCTCAGTATGTAATCCCAGTGCTTTGGGAGGCTGAGGTGAGTGGATTGCCTGAGCCCGTGGGTTTAAGACCTGCCTGGGCAACTTGGCGAGACCTCATCTCTACAATAAAATTAAAAAAAATTAGCCGGGTGTGGTAGTGCACACCTGTAGTTCCAGCTACTTGGAAGGCTGAGGCGGAAGGATCGCCGGAGCCCAGCAGGCCGAGGCTGCGGTGACCCGGAGCGTGCCACTGCACTCCAGTCTGGGTGCCAGAGTGAGACTCCAACTCAAAAAAAAAAAATTAGTGAAGTTGTATAAAACTCAGTGAATGGGTTTATATTGATCACACTGTATTCATTTAATGCCTTTCTATTTTTTGAGTGGGGGTCTCCCGGGCTGGAGTGTGGTGGCACGATAATGGCTCACTGCAACCTTGACCTACTGAGCTCAGGTGATCCTTTTGCCTCAGCCTTCCAAATTCAGCTGGGACTACAGATGTACAAACACCATGCCTGGCTAATTTTTAAATTTTTTGTAGGGACGAGGTCTTGCTCTGTTGCCCAGGCTTGTTTCTAATTCTTGGGCTAATGCTGCCCTCCTGCCTCGGCCTCCCAAAGTGCTGGGATTATAGGCATGACCCACTGTGCCTGGCCATGCTTTTCTTTTTAAATAATTTTATTACCATGCCTCAGGATTCTTTTTTTTTTTTTTGAGTTGGAGTCTCACTCTGTCATCCAGAAGTGGCCACTGCAGCCTCAACCTGCTGGGCTCTGGCGATCCTCCCGCCTCAGCCTTTCAAGTAGCTGGAACTACAGGCTCGCACTACCACGCCCGGCTAATTTTGATTTATTGTAGAGATGAGGTCTCGCCAAGTTGTCCAGGCGGGTCTTGAACCTGCAGGCTCAGGCAATCCACTCACCTTGGCCTCCCAAAGCGCTGGGATTACAGGCTGAGCCACCGAGCCTGGCCGCCTCAGGATTCTTGTAGGGTGTTTTTAACTCTGGTTGCTACATTTAGGCTTTGTCAAATATCCTGTTATAAAATAGTTGGGGAAAACTGAGAGAGATAGGGGGGTATATTGCCAAGAGTTGGACATATAATTACTATCTGAATTGGGAGTGAAATTGAAAGCCACAACTCAGAATTTTGATCTGATTGAACATTGTTGGTTGCTACTTAGCAGCAAGGCTGGTTTCTTAGAGACTGAGTCTTGGCACTGGTCTGTGTTGCATGAAGATGATGGTAAATGCAGTCGTTTTTCTTGGTAGATGGCACATGGGTACAGACTACAATTACCCTTTTCTGAAAGGAAAACCTGTTAACTGTTAAGTTGAACCAAGCTCCTTCTTAGTCAAGAGTATGTCACACAGTACTACTCTTGAAAGTCTCTAGCAGATCATGAGTAGCTATTCATTTGGGCTATTCTGTATTTTTTTATAATTTCCGATTTTAAAATATTTACCAAAACAATGAATTTGAATTTAGTTATTTTTATAATGTCTTTCAGGGAAGGGGAGGCAAGGGTTTGATAAGGTTTTAAGATTAGAAAAGAAAATAAGGGTTATAGCTTGTTAGGTTGTAGAGGTAATCTTTTTTTTTTTTTCACTTTAGTATGGTGTGATGGTTTTTCTAGGATGAACAATTAATAACGAATTCTCTTTTAGGAAGTGTTTTTTTAAATGAACCACCCAACGGTTAAACTTGTGTGGAAAGAAAGTCCTCCTTTGCCTGTGGCATTGGTCCAGGTGTGAGATGGGCCATGTTTAGTCACTTGTATTGGATACAAAGATTGTGGACAGCCTGGTTGTTTCCAGGCATTATTTTCGTCTAATTTAATTGTCTTGCAAGTGAGTCTGCCTCCTCAGGACTAATTCTCCTGGGTCTCTTTGAGTTGGAATCTCACTCTGTCACCCAGTCTGGCTTGAATATGGTGGCACGCTCACAGCCAGTTGCGCAGGCTGGTCTTGAATTCCTGGGCATAGGCAGTCCTCTTGCCTCCACCTCCCAAAATGCTGGGATTACATGCGTTAGCCACCCTGCTGGCTCTCCTGGGTCTTTCTCTTGAGCACCAAGTACGTAGTGGGCTTTTTAAAAAAGTAGTTTTCTTATTTCTTTTTTTTTTTTTGAGTTGGTGTCTCCATCACGCAGGCTGAAGTGCAGTGGCACACTCATGGCCACCCCAGTGTCCACCTGCTGAGCTCCGGCAATCCTTCTGCCTCATCCTTCCAAGTAACCGGAACTATAGGTGCATGCTATCACACCCGGCTAATTTATTTTATTTATTGTAGAGACAAGGTCTCGCTAAGTTGCCCGAGCTGGTCTTGAACCCTCAGGCTCAGGCAGTTCACTCACCTCTGCCTCCCAAAGTGCTGGGATTACAGACTGAGTCACCGATCCTGGTTGTTTTTTTTTTTTTTGAGATGGAGTCTCACTCTGTAGCCCAGGATGGAGTGCAGTGGCATGCTCACGGCCACCTCAGCTTCAACCTGCTGGTCTCAGGTGATCCTTCCTCCTCAGCCTTCCAAAGTAGCTGGAACTACAGGCACTCACCATGCCTGGCTAATTTTTTGATTTATTGTGGAGATGAGGTCTCGCAAAGTTGCCCAGGTTGGTCTCGAACCTGTGGACTCAGGCTATCCTGTCACCTCCCTCTCCCAAAGTGCTGAGATTATAGGTGTGAGCCACCGCCCCCCTGGACCTGATCCCTCTATTGAACATTATTTGCTTGACATAGACCTTAAAACAGTTGTTTTGGAAATGATTTGTAGGATGATCGTGATCAACATGCTTTTATGCTTGTGGCTGCCCTGCCTAAAAATAGGTGGTGTTTGGAGTCCATGAGTTGCTGTTTTCAGGGACTGGGACAGGAGAACAGTGATGGGGAGTAGGTTTGCTTACAGAAAACATATAACCACATTGTGACTAAAATATGTGTCAGAAAAGGATCCCGGAAATGATTGTTAGATATAAGGAATGATGTGGAATTTTAGTTGT